GCAAGCTAATGAGTTTGCACCACCTTTTAGCCAAGATGCCCCACAATCAAACCTGGAAATGGGTGGGGAGTGAGAGGGAAGGACTCTGTGGGCATAGGAGAGAGGAAGTAAAGTGGACGTTTTGCTGGGCTGGAGCAGAAGGGAGATGTCTATAAATCCATTTCACAGGTGGAGCGTGTGTGTCACCTCAAGGGGCTGCAGCCTGAATAATGGCATCCCTCTCCCTCCTCACCAATCTCTAGTGCAAGCTGGCTCTAGGTTTCTGCATCTTTCTCCTGAAAATTCCACCCGCCCTTCCAGCGCATGCTGGTGAGCTATCCAGCCCTCACCGCCCTATCTCTAAAACCCTGAATCCTAAAACTAGCTCAGTGAATACCACAAATCAAATGAATCCAAAAGTGACAATAAAGGAGAAAAAATTAGGCCTGTGTGTTGAAACAGCACGTTTTAACTCCATCTCCCAAAAGTGCTCCCCCGCTCACCTTCCCCTCTCCTTTGGCCACTTACCTTCTTTGGGTGGTCGCTTGGCCTCCCTGGTAAGATTGCAGACTTGGGTGGTTTGCAGCTCCTGGGTCAGGCAGCCCTCTGTCTGCTCATTCAGGGGTAACACCACGTTATTTAACAAAACCAGCGACTGGTCGTCGATCCCCCACTCTCCCAAATGCTGAGGGCAGGTGCATTTTGTATACATGATCCCACAGGATTCTGTTCTCCCATTTTCTGATTTTAAGCAGCTCTCCAACCAAGTGCATAATACATGGCAACCAAATTGGCTTGGGCTGACCTTGTTCAATACCAAAAACTCAAAAAAAGATTTCTGATCTTCTTCCCCTTTTTTCTGTAATCCTGGGAAATCAGATGGAAATACTCGACGTATTTGAATAAAATTTTTATCATATTGTAGAAAAACGAAAGCATTCTTGGAATTGCAGAGTTGCATTATAGAATGATTCTTTCTTAAAAGATCCTTTATTTTTTCATGGGAAAAATGATCAAACTGATAAGCCAGGAGTGAAAAGTTAGAGCAGCTAAGGTCCTTTTTGGAAAATTTCAGGTAAATGCTATATTTGGTTGGATCTGGATTTTCCAGCGTCCAAGTGCAGTTTGTAAAGTTTTTGGGAAACATTTCACTTACAGAATACGATCCATAAATGACTCCCTTCACCAAAGTTGAACACCAGAAGTCTTGGGCAGCATTAAATCCAAACATAACCAGGAGATAGGTGGAAAATATATAAATCAGCAGGTTACGAACAGCCTTCATCCTATGTCATTTGGCCTGTAAAAATGGCAATGAAAGTAAAATGCAAGTAGGAGTCTACACGCATTGAGAAAATAAACTCCTTTCAATATTACAGCCAGCTGTTTTCAAGATTTCGGTAAAAAACCCTTTTTAAAAGAAGGACAGGTAATTTTTATTTTATAACACAGGAAAATTATCTGTTGCTGTGTGAACAGCGCCCTCATGTGGCCATTCACAGTGGTCAAATTCGCAACATTCCATTTAAAAATAACATTTAATAGATTATTAATAAGAATGCCCTAACTTATCTACCAGGATATCCTCCACGTCCATTATCATTCTATCGAATGAAAAGGGAAAACATGGAGTTTTAAAACGTCATAATGTAAACGCTAATTGTCGAAATAGTATTAATCAGTCTATAGTCTACACAACCTCTCTCTCTCTGTCCTTTGCCTGCAGTAAACACTATCATACAAAATCTAATCTGATAATCTGGGAACAGGCTGTCATCACATTATTTCCCTTCTCTTAAATGTGAAAAGTAATGATGATAAATTATGGCCACAATTTTAAAAGCACAAATGATCATTTATTACAGATGGAACATCATCTCCCAAATGCCCCACTTGCCTTTGCAGGGGCCACCATGTGAACTGCTCAGAAATTCCTTTGCAAAAACATGGGCATTCATGTGGATTAATTAATTTTAAAAACATCATTTGAGAAAGGGCATAGATGGATAAACACATAGGGGAGACTTGTTGTCCAACATCACCATTGAGTACCAGGATTTAAGGCAGTCATCTCAATGTGACATACCCTCTTGGGATACATAAAGTGGATCCCTGTATTAGTATCTGTATCCAAAGGTGATGTCAGTAAAAAAAAAAAAAAAAAAAAAAAATCCAAAACCATAGTAATTGAGCTGGTTTCAGTCTTTTAATTTTTGAAAAATTATCTTATCAACTGTAATTTAAGGCTTACACATGGTAATAAAACACATTAGCATTTTTGTTCCTAGCAGATTCCAATTATTGAATTGCTCCCTTTCCAACAACAACTCCAAAGCTCCTCTTTTCTTTTCTTTCTTTTTTTTTTTTTGTTTAATTTCAACCCTGGCTTTGGATAATAAAGTAGTCCTTGATTATATTTACCTCTGTAAGTTGTTATCCAAAAATAACTTGAATATTTTTCAGCTTTAACCTTTAAGAAGTTATTTCTTAGAATAAATGACACTGCTTTTTGTTTGTTTGTTTGTTTAGCCTTTGAGCTGATAAAAGTGATGCCAAGTTAATTTTAAAAGTCTTTAGGCTGCAGTCTCTTCCACTGTTCTGTAAACAGAGACAGACATACAGACATATAGACAGTTAAGAGTTTTCATGCCTTTGCCTGGGTCTTCTCTGAACCAAAGGATAAAACCCTCTTCCTTCCCATTGCATAACACACACCAACGCATGCACACCAAATCCAGTGACCGAAGTCCCTGAAGATAGATCTGCATTTTCTAGATTATAATTCAAATTCTATGTCTTGATATAGGCAAACACAGCCCCAACTCTAAATCTCTATATAGCAGCAGTTTAAAATAACATCAGAACTGCTGGGACCATCAAAACAGTGTTCTCTGTTTCAAGCAAATAGCTCAATGAATAATGCATTTTCTTCATGAGAAAATAAGCCAATGATCATTTAAAGGTTTAAAAAAAAAACAACAACAGAGAAAGTTGTAAGAAATTCTGGAAATAATTTCCTTTTTTTTCTTTTTTCTTTTTTTTTTTTTTTTTTTTTTTTTGCTGTTGCACTTTGCAGGCAATGCAGGTCTGCGCAGTGTTCTTCAGGATAGAGTGTAGGCGTTGAGAGCCAATGTGACAATAAGTGTCTAAATTAGGAATTCCATCCATGAAAGGGGATTTCATTTTATAATCAGGAACTCAAAAAGAGGTCGTATGTCTTTTCCTAATGAAACTGGTACTTTTGCTTCCATTTATTTGACAGTGCATGTCTGCAATGCCGTGCTCATCAATGGTCAGAAAGAGTGAGGAAATAGCACTTTAATGCCTGCTCAAGAGAGCACACTCAGTATAATGCTCTTTATTTTTCATCAGTCTGGAGTACAGAGTCTTGTTTTGTTCTAAATAATAAAAAATAAATCATTACCCTCATCCCCCTTTGGACTGCAGGGACCGTTCAAAAAGCTGTATTTCCCTCTTAAAGAAGAGGTGGGGGCAGGGGCAAAGGCTGGCCACGGAGGTGTCAAGGATGTTTTATTTATTTATTTATTTATCTATCTATCTCTTGCTGAGAAGCAAACCAGCACTGAGTTTAGCTATTCTCACAACTGATTTTCTGGGTGACACTTTAGTTTAGTCGAACATAGACGGCGCCATCACTCCACAGATTTTTCCCCCCAATAGAAGACCCACTGCCTTCTCTTAACTTCCTTTTAACCTAAAATTTTCCCCCCATAAAATTACCCCAATCACACAAAACTGCCAGATTTTCTAGGTCTCTCTGCTTATTCCTTCTGACCCAGCACATCTCTTGAAAACCAGACTTCTCTAACTTTTCAACTGCGGCGTTTAAGTAAATGCAGACAGTCGGATTTGCTCACAGCCTCCCCATCCGCCAGCAACAGCCTTTCCTTTCATTTTCCTCCCTTCTCAAACATTAAGCCCAAAGCTCCACGGTGGCGACCCCCGGCAGAGAAAAGGTGACCCCTCGACCCCCTTCCTTACCTTCCACTCCGAAAGCTCAGGGAGGCTCTTGCTCTAAGACACCAGCACAGGCACGCGTCCCAGCAACAGTGACGGAGAGACTCCCCTTCGGTCCCAATCACCGTTGCCCATTTTCCCCGGCTCAGCTTCCAAAATCAGGATTTATTTTAAAAAATGCATACATACGAAAAGCAAAAGGTAAGGGGTGGGAACGAAAGGGGGGTCGATGAGAGAGAGAGGAAAAAAAAAGCCACCAGGAGCCCAGAACCTTGCGCCGTATCCAACTGAATCCAACCTCCAATCCGAGGGGGGCTAAAGGGAGGAGAAGCCCCCCCAAGGGAGACTCTAAGGAACCCCCCAAAATGTAAGTGGCTTAAGAGCGAAGATTTGTTTCATAAAAGCTACCCCCAACAAACCGATTAGCCAAGAAGCAAAGAAAGCGCTGAGACGAGAAGTGACCGGCGGCGGCGGCGGCTGCTATGGCAGATTTGTTGGGGCGGTGGGTTTATTACGGGAGTATTCGTGGTCGGATCGGAAGGCTCAAGCTTATGCTCTTTCCTCTTTCCGCTTTCCTCCCTCCTCCTCCTCCCCCCTGCAGGTACTGATGGACGGACGGCGACTAAGGAGAGGGGGAAAAATCCTTGGCTGGTGATGTCGGAAAGCTGTTTGAATGCCCAGCGAGGAGGGAGGCGCGAGAGGGAGCGAGATAGTAAAGCTCTGTCTCGGGTGTGCGCGCCGGCGCGCGGTGCTCGCTTTCCCTTGGGCGCGCGCGCGGGGGCTGCGCGTGTCCCGAGAGCGCGTCAGCGCAGCGGCCTCCCGCGTGCTCGTGTGCGCGCGCGTCCCGGGTGCCGCGCGCCCCTCTCCTGCACAGCTGCGGTGCGTCCAGCCGCCCGCCAGAGGCTCGGCTCGCGCGGGGCGGCCGCTGCGACTTCCTGGAGTTCTGCCTACCGGGTGCGCGGGCGGGTGTGTGAGAGAAGGCGAGGGGAGCCGCAGGGTGGGAGAGGAGGGAGTCCCGGCGGGAGGGCGGGGTAGAGGCTGGCGGGAGGGGGGCTTCACGGAGCTCCAGCCAGGGCCACGGTGCGCCTGCACGTCACGGCTACTCAAACCCAAGCACGTCCCGAAAGCGGTATTTTCTGCGTCTGGGAGGTTTTTGCATCCTCAGTTCCCACCGCTGGGGCTGGCGGCGACCAACTGTAAGAGAAACTCACTGGGAGGCGAGGCAGGGGGGTGCGGAGGATGGGAAGGCGACTCTGAAGGGTGGGAAGTGAATGCTGGACTTCATCGTCTTTCTCTGTCTTTCAGCGCGGACCTGTCGCAGCCAGAGAGCTGTCATTTTAGCACCGGGATTCAGAATTGATCCAGTCCGCAGCGGAGGGGGCACATCCCTGCTCCGGAGCTGCTGAGTGTCTCTGGCTGGAACAATAGTAGTTTTTCTCTGCGAGGCTGCAATTAACATCTTATTTGTTCTGGCTCCATACAGGCTTTGTCAGGATCGCGGTGCGGCGACCGAGGTTGGGCTCTTGCATTGCTTTCTGCTTGGCAATGGAATCATGGTTTCGGGGTCTAAACTTTTGTTTCATTTTGTAGTCTTAATGCATCTGATTCTTTTTCAAGTTTCCCTAGTAACAGGTTTGGGGACGGGGTGGGAAGAAACGAGAAAAGGGGTGAAGAGAAACAACCAGATTATATAGAAAGGGAAAAGGGATAAGTTTCCCCACCTTTTAATCTATCTGCCTGTCTATCTATCTATTATCTGTCTATCAGTCATTTTGCCTCCTGGACAGTTGGCTGACGAAGTGTCTGATAAACCAGCTTCAGATATATGCTACAAAAGGTCATTCGCCTCCTGATTATGTCTCTACTTGTAAACGCAGTTGGTGGTTTGCAAAACAAGTGCTAAAATAGTGCAATGATGTGGTGGGAGGAAACCATCATGGGCAATTCATATCAAGTGCTGGAATCTTCATAAGGGTGAGTTTCTCGAGCGGCAGGTGAAGTTGAATAAAGCAATTTTCCATCATTTGTTCCCCTCACTCTTGCATTTTTTTCCTCCGCTCGTTTCTCTCCCCTGGGGCGATTATGGATAGCCAAGAACACCATTTTAAAAGAGATTGATAGTGAAAACAGGAAGATGCTGATGGTCTTTTATCCACTGAAGTTGTTTGAAATATTAAAATTGGTCCTTTACTTCTTAATACATATTAGCAGAGTGACCCTCTTCAAGGCTTTCCCTTGTTAAACGAGTGCCTGGGATAAACACTCTGTAAGGGAAACAGTTAATAATTCCCCAACAGGCTTTAACTATTTTCCCAGTAACAGATCACCGGCAAGAGAGCAGCCTGGGTGGCATTTTGGTTTTGTGTCATTTTGGTTCTTTAAAATATTTTTTATTCATTTAAGGAAATGTTAAAAGGAATAATTAGGGTTTATATCCAGAACAAATTTTGAAACACCGTTTAAGCAAACACATTTTCTTTTAAAAACAAAGAACATTGAGCAACACAAAGGAGAAAAACATTTTATTTCAACTTCCCTGGAGATCATAATTATGATTTTTGCAAGGCAATTTGGTCATTTCTGTTACTTTATCCAGAGGAAAAGAAAACCATGACAGATGTGGAATAAAAATGGAGAAAAAAAAATGCTTTGGGTGGTTTATACATAAAAAGGAAATAATGTAATGGGAGGTTCAGTTATACTTCTATTTTGCACCTAGTGATTTCTCATATTATCTTGTAACACTGTGATTTTGATGTTTCTTAGAAATTCTTAAAGTCATGACACAGTGGCATAAGAATAACAGCTGAAAGGGACAATTTAAAAGGCTTAATCCTAAATGGAAAGGATCACTTACTCCCAGGATCATTTATATTCAAGTAGAAGTCAGGGCAGGGTCAGAAAAGAAAGCCATCCTTAATAAAGCCCTTCACCCTTCACATTGTTTCTCATAACCTTCATAAATTGCAGGCTACTGAGCTGGCCTGATGATGATCCTGCTGAGATGTATTTATAGCAGATGATTTGTGGGTGATAACTACGCCAAGCAAGACATGGTCTCCAGTAACCCCAGGCTCGTCTGACTTCCTCAGGGGATTATAATCAAGAATCAGGAAAAGAGCCCTATATGAACAGTCTGGTCTCTGGACACTAACAACAGCACAATCCAAAGGCAAAGCAAGGAAGGAACCACTTTGTTTCATGTCTGCAAGATGCTCCATATAGAAAGCATTGCTGACATGTTGACCCAACAGCAAAAAGAGAGCAGCAGTTCACACACCCTCAGCTCTCTGTCCTTTCGTTTCTATTGATGTTGGTCCACTTTTATGATTTAATACATATTAAATTCACCATTTCAAATTATCATTATCTGCTTTCATTGGTCTTTTTCACGAGTCCAAGTGTATGTTTATATTTATGTTTATATATATAAACATATTTATACATACCTATGTATATGTATGCACACATTTGCAAGTATGCATACACATATGTGTGTGTATATATGTATTTGATATGTATGTATTTCAGTTGATACACATATACTTGCTTGGGAAGTTTCACTATATTGCTTTGTATTTCTCTGTTATAAAGTAATGCATTTCATTCCAAAACTACCAGATTAATTGTATAAATTGATTATTACATAAGTTTCCTTGATGATTTACAGAAGAACTATTGAGAGGTCAGTGTTAGCACATCAAAATATAGACTGGTATTACATTTTAAATTGACCCAGGTATTTAAAGTTAAAGCCTTTGAAATTTATCTTTCCTATTATTAATGCATTTTATTAAGATTACTTTGGAATGGTGAGGTTTCTAAGTTTGATTTATCTCTGTTTTTCATCTTTTTGTCTGTATGTGCTAAATTTAGTCCCTCCACTTTGAGAATAACCCTATAATCCAGGATCACTGCTTAAAATTCAGTATCATTTGCACAATTCTCATACTCAAATAAGAATGTTTCTAGAATACGTTTACTCAATTTTAAAAAGTGTTTTCTCTTTCCTTCTTTCTCTCATAGTCTTTCTGATATTACCATATTACCACATTCTAAATTCTGTAACTTGTTATTTTCAGTAAGGCTTTAAGAAGCATGGATAGGCTTGTAGGTTATTTCTTGTTAAATATGCCTTAATTTTTTAGTATTTAGTATTTTTTTTAGTATTTAGTATTTGGTATCTCCCATATATATATACACACACATATATATATACTATACACACACACACACACAGCTTTTGGAATGTTAATTAAATGATCAAAATATTGTAAGATTACATTGTTATGAGTACTTACCCTTAAAAGTAGCATATTTACTATAAACTGAAACAACTTCTTCTTCTTCTTCTCTGTCTCCTCCTGATTATTATTATTTTTTTTGTTATTAAATAAGGAAGTCTCTCAGGAACCAAACTGTATATCCTCTAGTCTCTATGAAAAAAACAAATTGGTCATTTTCTACTTGGACATCCCAGAATAGAAAGTACATGGAAGTACTAAAAAATAAAGGGATAGACTTGGGGTTAAGGGAGATGTCATAGAACAGCTATCCTGGGTTAGTTCAAGTGTAGTCCTATTCCATGCCAGGCAAAGTCAAGGTTAAGTTTAGTCCAAGAATCCCAGTTACATCAAGTTTCCATTTTTTGTCATTATTTCCCTATACAACGATACAAGTTTTTAAAAAGTCGGTAAATACTTTTGGCCATCAATTTTCAAGGTTTCATTGGTGATATTAAGGAAATACTGTAAGTAGGTAACACATAATGTCACATCTGTGTGCTGTAGAAGCATCTTGAAAAATATGGACTTTAAAAGCTCAAAATATGTGTTTGCAATTGAACATACATTCACCCCCAAATTTGTCCTTTTTCAGCTAGTTATTTTTTCATATGAAGTTACTATACTTCTACCATTATCTTTAATCTCTGAAATTTCAATTATACTAGAAATCAAGATTCTTCATTTTTACTCACGAACCTGACACTAAGTGTATACCTCATTAAGGACAAGAAGCTATGAATTCTCTGGACTTCAGTTATCTCACAGAAAAAAGCTTGATTGAATAATCTCTAAGGCTCTTCCTGACATATTCTAAATAACAGAAGGTGTCTCACAAGAAATGGAAGCAGTGAGAGAAAAATGCAATTAAATCCTAGACTAGAAAGAATCACAATTTTTCCACTCACAGGTTGGAAATGCTTCTCTATTCTATCATAATTTTGAAAACCTCCGTAGTTTTACCAGCTTTGCCTTTCCCCGTTGCTATCATCTGCTGAGGTACAGACAGTTCTTTCCATTTTTGTTCCTCTTCCACTCTAATAATTTTTTTTTCTTTGACAGAAGTCCCACTTTACCATTAATGATGACAATAACTAAAGCTGCCAGGAACAGCACATTTGCTGACCTTTATAAACACCAGGTATTGAAGTCTATGGACTACCTATTATTTCTGAACATTTCTTCATGTTCAGTCCTGTGTCTACCAATTCTGATCCACTTATCTCCACCATTTCTCTTCCTAGCAGATTCTCTCATTTTGCCTTCTGGATCTCCATGCTCTTTTATACCAGCAAACAAGAGGAAGAATATTCTTTACCCACTTCCTTGACTGAAGCCTGCTCTTTTATGAAGACATGGCATCTCTTCCAACCGTGTCAAACAGAAGCAATTTACGTGTATGCCGCTTCCATACCCTGATTCAATGAGTCAGGGGCAGAATCAGTATCCTTACTCTCCCCTTTGGTTTCAAATATTTACTCCTCATTTCCCTTTCATGCCCACCTTTCTGTAGAGATCAAGGCATCTGCCTTTGCAGCTTTACCTCTTCCTCCAGATTATATTTTCCATTCATGGAATCTTTTAGCTGCCGGCTCGCAGTTTTCCTGTCCACCTGACTTCCATTCCTCTTCTCATGGCTTCAGCTCCCATGCAGATGTCTTATCCTGACACACTAGCTTCTCCATTCTATTTCTGTTTTTTGTTTGTTGGTTGTTTGTTTTTTGTTTTTTCCTACTACTTCAACAACATTTCCCTATGGTCTTTAACTAAAAAGTCTAACCAGTGACTAAACCACTCCCAATATTTAACATTTAATGTTTCAGTGCCTTAATTACCACCTTCTACTTTTAAAAACTCACCTCCTAAGTAACCACATGGAATCAAGTCTTTCACAAAATTCAGGTCTTTTTTATTATTATTATTATTAATTCCCACCAGTTTCTACTCTTATCTTCATTTTCCTCCTTATGCCCTGTGGTAAGCAGCCTCTCACATGGACCCTAATGATCTCTACTTCCTGGTATGTGCGTCCTTGTGTAATTGTCTCTCTCTTGAATGTGGGCTAGATTTAGAAATTTGCTTTTATCAAACAGAATATGGTAGTAGCAATGGGATGTTAAGATATAAAATGAATGTGTCTTCCATCTTGGGAGCTCCTTTACTCTTCCTTAGAACATTTGTTTGCAATAAGCCAGGTACCGTGTTATGATACAGTCCTAAATAGAGAAGTCCATGTGAGTTTGGCCTTCTGAGGCCTGTCAAAAGACACATGAGTGAGCTCAGAAGTAGAAGCTTCCTCATTCAAGTCTTGAGAGGACTGCAGTCCAGCCAACATCTTGGTTGCCCCTTCATGACAGGCTTGTGCCAGAATCAAGCAGCTAAGCTGCTTCTGGATTCCTGACCTACAAACACTGTAGATCAGGAATGTTTGTGGCTTCCAACTGCTAAATTTGGGGATAATTTGTTATGCAAATGTAGGTAACTAATGTATACCTCATGGATTCCATGCCCATTGTTATGATAATTTACTTACAACCATCTTCAGCTATTTACTACATTTTCCTGGCTGGATCACCATGTTTACTGTGATGGACAACTGCCCTTCCTGATCCAAGACCCATGCAACAGAGCATTACTGAAGAAATTCACACCCTCAGGCATTAGATGTCCCTGTAAAGTTATAGTCAACAGGTTCTTATGACCTCACCACATAGACTGTTACTTATAAGCTCCCTCTCTTATTACATCTATGGATATTTTGTAACTTTTCTTTGATCATTAAAAAGCTTCTCCTCAACTCTTGAATGATAAGTGATAACCTTTTTTCATTCATTATTTATAAAACAGATGTGATTGGCCGGGCGCGGTGGCTCAAGCCTGTAATCCCAGCACTTTGGGAGGCCGAGACGGGCGGATCACGAGGTCAGGAGATCGAGACCATCCTGGCTAACACGGTGAAACCCCGTCTCTACTAAGAAATACAAAAAACTAGCCGGGCGAGGTGGCAGGCGCCTGTAGTCCCAGCTACTCGGGAGGCTGAGGCCGGAGAATGGCGTGAACCCGGGAGGCGGAGCTTGCAGTGAGCTGAGATCCGGCCACTGCACTCCAGCCTGGGCGACAGAGCGAGACTCCGTCTCAAAAAAAAAAAACAGATGTGATTAGATGGAAAATACCTTACATTCATTAAACTGACTTTACCTTCCCCCATTTTCTCCTGTCTTCCTATCTCCAGGGAGATACTGCCCTTATCTAAGAGGTCATCCCCTCCACAGGTAACTTGGATCTTACTTCTACTGGCTTTCACATCTCTCTCCTGGGCCACTTCCATCAGCATACATATTTTATAGCAATACTACCCATCTAAAAACTTCTGATCAACAACCTGTTTCTTAGATCCCCTTCATAACGAATCTTTTTTAAAAAAGCAATCACATTCACTTCACTTCCTCACTTCCCTCTCATTTCTCAACTCAATCCATTCTGGCTTCCACCCCCACAATTCCACTGAAAAAATTCTTGTCAAAAATCACTAAAGACCTTCATGTTGCCAAGTTAAAGGGATAAATGTTTTTCTCATCTTACTCCAACTTTCAGCAGCATTTTAAATGCAATGCCCTCCTTTTGGAAACCACTTCTATTTTGGTTTCTGTTTTATCATACTCTCCCAGATGTACTTTTATGTCCCTAATCACTGTGAAGACACTGAGATGCTTCTCAGTGTCTTTTGCTTGTTCTTCTTCCATGTTAACTTGAAATGCTGACTACTGTAGTGATAAGTGTTGGATGTACTTCCCTTATTTCTCTACCACCTCCCCTTTGGTGATCAAATTCACTCCGTAATATTGAATATCACCATAAGTATGTATATGTACGTACATGCATACACACATATGAATAGACACCCCATGTATATTCCTTTAACAAGGGTATCTCCTCTGAGCTCTAGATTTTTAAATAATCAACTGGCGTGATTTATATCTCTACTAAATATGCCTCACAGTCATCTCAGATTTGGGGTAATTAAAGGAAACTTCCTGATTACTCCAAAGAAATGTGCCCTTCCCTCAGTCTTTCTGTTTCAGGAAATGACATCCCTATCTACCTAGTTATTCAATTGGCAAACATGGGAATGATACCTGTTGCTCATTTTCTATCACTCTACATCTAATCCCTTGACAAATATTGCCTGTTCCACTTTGTATAAGTTTCCTAGGGCTGCCATAATAAAATTCCACAATGTGGATGGTTTAAGCAACAGAAATTTATTTTTTTCACAGTTTTGGAGGCTAGATGTCTAAAATCAAAGTCCTTATTGGATTGGTTCCTCTGGGGCCCCTTTCTCTGGCTTGCATATGGCTGCGGTCTTGCTGCCTCTTCAAATGGGGTTGGGGGTGTCCTGAGATGGGCACAATTCAGCTCATGATATAACTTCAATACATAGATCTCAAATCTAACCAGTTCTTTCTTTTTTCACTGTTACCCTTTGTGTGTGTGTGTGAAGTATGTAGTTTTTGCTTAGTCTCTTCCACCTGACATTCAATATTCTTTGTTAATCTATCTCTAATAAGTTATACTTCAGAAAATGTATCCCTTTAAAATCAAATGGAAAAACATTTTAATTCCAGGTACTTCTCACATATCACAAATAATAAAATCCAAACTTTTAATCGCGACCATCAGTGCCCTACCTCATCTGATTCTTGCTCCTCTAACTTCATCTTGTGCCACACTTCTGCTTACATATAATGCCCAAGCTACATTTACCTTTTTCTAAGTCATGAGGACACTACATTTTTATCTCCTTACAATCTTCCAATGTCAGGATCATTCTACCTGGAATAAACTTCCCTTTTTCTACTGCTAGGAGAAACTTTATAGGCCTGACCTGCCCACTTCTCATACCTCAGATTTCATCTTGAAAATTCCCTTTTCAAAGTTTTTGAAAATTTTTTTTAACCAACCAATCTATGGTGCTCTCTCCTTGTGTTCTCTTTCAAGGTACTTATCTGTCTTTTTTTGTGTGTGTGTGCTCAGGTATATATTTTTTTCCTTTTTTAAAATTATACTTTAAGTTCTGGGATACATGTGCAGAACATGCAAGTTTGTTACATAGATATACACGTGTGCATGTTCTCACTCATAAGTGGGAGCTGAACAATGAGAACACATGGACACAGGGATGGGTAACATCACACATCGGGGCCTATCTGTTTTATACTAGTTACCAATTTTTATTTAGTTGGTCTTCATCTTTTTGCTTTTTATTAGTGTGTTAGCTCCATCATTACAAACTCCTGCCTAAAGTAGTGCAAGACACATGGTGAGCACTTCCTAGGTCTTTAGTGAATACATGGGTTGAACAACATGATGAATCTTATACATGGGTATTAGTTGTGTTCATTGGAGAAATATCTATTCCAACAGCTCACATATTCCTGCATGATAACTCAGCTAGAGTTCTCTCTTCCCTGGACCAAATTCCTGATTTCCTGAGAAATTTCCCAGGTGACATGGTCTCCAGACTTTTCATCTTTATGACTGTTTTCAATTGAACTTACCTAGTTTGTCACAGTTCTTTGATGCCACAATTAAAATACTCTAGATTTCAGCTGCTCAGCATGGTTGTAATACCTTTATTTGTTCAATCCAGAGAAACAAACAGGGAGCATCTACTTAGCCAGACTATGAGTTTACAATGATGAATGTCTTATATGAGGAGAATAAGGCTTTCAAATCCCTGAAATCAATTGATCATTTAGGTATTTAACACATAATTAACAAGCACATACATCATATAAGACATGTTGTAAGGTGTTTGGGAAACTGAAGTGACAACACGGAGTCCCTGCCCTTGTGATGATTGCCTTGTATTTGTAGTGATAGCCAATGAACAGCTAGCCACCAGATAATTATAAACGGCAAGTGTGTCAAATGTCTCGGAGAAGAGACAAATGAAGCTGCGAGAGGTGTGGAGTCTGTTTGTGGGAACAGACAGGATGACCTAGTATGGAAGGGCAGAGAACGTTTACCTGAATACGTAACAGTTGACCAGCAATTCGAAGGACACTAAGGAAATTTAATCATTCCCGTCAAAGGGAACAGAGTGTACAAAAAATGTGAGGCGAAAGGAAGTAGAACACATTCTAGGTAAAGAAAGTTAAGGTGAGGGAATAAAAAGGACAAAGAGGTCAGTGGCAATTCATAACATTTCCGATAAAGTGTTTGCTAAGTATTAGGATAAAAATCAGTGAATCTTAGCTGGGCACAGTGGCTCATGCCTGTAATCCTAGCACTTTGGGAGGCTGAGGCAGATGGATTACCTGACGTCAGGAGTTCAAGACCAGCCTGGCCAAGATGGTGAAACCCGGTCTCTACTGAAAATACAAAACATTAGCTGGACTTGGTGGTGGGCGCCTGTAATCCCAGCTACTCAGGAGACTGAGGCAGGAGAATCGCTTGAACTCTGGAAGAGGAGGTTGCAGTGAGCTGAGATCGCGTCATTGCACTCCAGCCTGGGCAACAAGAGCAAAACTGTGTCTCAGAAAAAAAAATAATAATAATCAGTGAGTCTTTATAATAATAATAATATGATTGAAGGATTGTAAACAGAGACTAACTCAGATTTACATTTTTTAACAACTCATTTCATTTCAGTCGGAGGAGTGATTTGAGAGAGGTAAGAGTGAATGTGAAGATTCAAGTCAGGAAACTGTTACATAAATGAAAACGGTGGCATCAGTAGGCATGAAGAAGAGAAGTGTCCAAGAGACCTTTGGAGGCAAAATTAATAGAATGTGTCAATGGTTAGGTATAAGGAGAATGACTGGATCTGGATAAGAGTCTCTGTTAGTGAATCGGCTGTATGCACTGCTGGTTCATATTCAACTGACAGTTAGTTAAAACAAGTTGATCTAAATATTTATTTATATTTAGAATTAAGTATTTATTTCTTGATACAATTGAATTTGTGATCTTAAGTGTGTGTGTGCGTGTGTGTGCATGTTTGAGAGAGAGCGTGCAAGACAGAGAAAGGGAGGGACACGCACAGAGAGACACACACACAAAACATGGCGACATAAAATAACAATTTATTTGTCTCATAAATATGCAATCTGGGGAGGCCTTTGCTGTTGGAATAGCTTGTCTTTTGACACTGTCTTTCAGGGTCAGCCTGAATAAACCGAGTGTGAAGGATCCTTGTCCAAGATAGCTCCACCTGTGACTGGCATTTGGAGCTAGTTATTGGCTGGGGCTCAGTAGGAGCCGTAACACAGGGGATGTAGTACATCTTTACACAGACCATTCTATAGAGCTGCTTGCTCTTCCACACAGCATTGCAGCTGTCTTTCATAAGTCAGTGTTCGAAAATATAGGAAAAGAAATCTGTCAGGGTCTTAAGACCTAGGTCTGTAAATTGGTACAGATTCATATCTGACATTATTCTTAGTCAAACAGTCACTAAGCTTGTTCAGGTTCAAGGTGCTGGTGGAGGGGGCTGGGCTGGGTAGAGAGAGAGCTGAAAATTCTCTAGTTCTTAATGTAGTCATCATTCTCAATGAAATGAATATTAAAGAATGTGTGATATTTGGTGTACACTGTGTTCATTGACATCTTCTTTCTGGATTCTATCATTCAATATGTTAGGTATTATTCCATAATTAATGAAATCTGCATATCTGAAGTGATTTCCAAGTCAGTGGCCACTGTTTCAACATAGTGTCAGTGACATACAACTAGAAACATTTCTCCATTATAATGCAAACTTCTGGAGGGCAGGGATATTACCTTATCCCATAATATCAGCC